GCAAAATCTGCAGAGCTGGGAAGATTGTATCCCCCATATCAATAACATTCTATTGGTAGCAATAATTTTATATAATAATTTAAATTGAAAGATTCTAAGTTTTGAATCCGGTGTCATTTTGCGTGTCAGTTCATAAACACTATGCCATGGGATCGGTACGTCAAAAATCTCTTCCCAACTATTTTGCAATCTACATGGGACGGCTGTCAATCCTTAGATCCTTAAATGAAACTGGTATACTTTTATATTTATCACAGTTTTCCTTAACCAATTATGTTCTTTAATGCAAGGCCGACAGACAAGTTCCTTACTCTCTCCCCCTTCCACTTTCCTCATCCATTTTTGCGGTAAGGCTGCAATTATTTGGTTGTAATTTTGGGTAGAGCAGACATTTCCATATGTTATTGTTAGCTGCATGTCCGACATAACTCCACCAGTCCTACCGATGATATCATTTATGAAGATAATAACTTATTTTTTTAAATTTTGTCCCAAAAAAAGTTTTGGGTCAATTAGTATATTTGAGTTTAACCACAATATTTGTTGCATTATTTGTTCTGTCGTTTCTGGAGGATTAAATTGAAATTGCAACCAACTTTCTATGGCTTGTTTTAGAAATAGTGATATTTGGGAGATTATTTCCTTTTCAAATAACTGAAAGTGAGTGGTTGTAATCTGAATAAAGGGAAAAAGGCCATTCTTGAATGTTGGGTGAGACAATCTTACTAATTTGCTAGAGAACCAGTTCGGATTTATGTATAACTTTTGTATGACTGAAGCTTTTAGTGATAGGTCTAATGCTTTAATATTTAATAATTTATGTCCTCCGAATTCATATTCATTATATAAATAGGCCCGTTTAATTTTGTCTGGCTTGCCGTTCCAAATAAAATGGAATATTTTTTTCTCATATAATTTAAAAAACTGTTCGCTAGGCGTAGGCAAGACCATAAGCAAATAGGTAAACTGGGATAATACAAAAGAGTTAATCAGGGTGATTTTTCCACAAATTGACAGGTATTTACCTTTCCATGGTAGCAAGATCTTATCTATTTTTGCTAATTTTCTATTAAAATGTATTGAAGTGAGATAATTTATTTCATTTGGGATATGTATGCTGAGTATATCCACTTCACCATCAGACCATTTTATTGGTAAACTACATGGTAATGTAAAAATTGTATTTTTTAGTGATCCAATCCGTAATATAGTACATTTGTCATAATTTGGTTGTAATCCAGAGAGGTTAGACTCTCCTGCTATCTCTCTCAGAATGACCTTCTTGATCCAAACCAGTCAGGTTTCAAGACTGGTCATTCAACTGAGACTGCTCTTCTCAGTGTCACGGAGGCTCTCCGCACTGCTAAAGCTAACTCTCTCTCCTCTGCTCTCATCCTTCTAGACCTATCTGCTGCCTTTGATACTGTGAACCATCAGATCCTCCTCTCCACCCTCTCCGAGTTGGGCATCTCCGGCGCGGCTAACTCTTGGATTGCGTCCAACCTGACAGGTCGCTCCTACCAGGTGGCGTGGCGAGAATCTGTCTCTGCACCACGTGCTCTCACCACTGGTGTCCCCCAGGGCTCAGTTCTAGGCCCTCTCCTATTCTCTCTATACACCAAGTCACTTGGCTCTGTCATATCCTCACATGGTCTCTCCTATCATTGCTACGCAGACGACACACAATTAATCTTCTCCTTTCCCCCTTCTGATAACCAGGTGGCGAATCACGTCTGCATGTCTGGCAGACATATCAGTGTGGATGTCGGATCACCACCTCAAGCTGAACCTCGGCAAGACGGAGCTGCTCTTCCTCCCGGGGAAGGACTGCCCGCTCCATGATCTCGCCATCACGGTTGACAATTCCGTTGTATCCTCCTCCCAGAGTGCAAATAACCTTGGCGTGACCCTGGACAACACCCTGTCCTTCTCCGCTAACATCAAAGCAGTGACCCGATCCTGTAGGTTCATGCTCTACAACATTCGCAGAGTACGACCCTACCTTACACAGGAAGCGGCACAGGTCCTAATCCAGGCACTTGTCATCTCCCGTCTGGATTACTGCAACTCGCTGTTGGCTGGGCTCCCTGCCTGTGCCATTAAACCCCTACAACTCATCCAGAACGCTGCAGCCCGTCTGGTGTTCAACCTTCCCAAGTTCTCTCACGTCACCCCGCTCCTCCGCACACTCCACTGGCTTCCAGTTGAAGCTTGCATCTGCTACAAGACCATGGTGCTTGCCTACGGAGCTGTGAGGGGAACGGCACCTCCTTACCTTCAGGCTCTGATCAGTCCCTACACCCAAACGAGGGCATTGCGTTCTTCCACCTCTGGCCTGCTGGTCCCCCTACCTCTGCGGAAGCACAGTTCCCACTCAGCCCAGTCAAAACTGTTCGCTGCTCTGGCACCCCAATGTTGGGACAAGCTCCCTCACGACGCCAGGACAGCGGAGCCACTGACCAACTTCCGGAGACACTTGAAACCCTACCTCTTTAAGGAATATCTGGGATAGTATAAAAGTAATCCTTCTACCCCCCCCACAAAAAATAATATATATATATATACAAGGATAAAATAATTAATATTTAAAAAATAGTAGAAAGTCACAAAACATTTTTGGGAAAAATAATAAAAAAATACAACAAATATATATATATATATATATATATATATATATATATATATATATATATATATATATATATAAAACAAATTAAAATTAAAAATATACTCAAAAAATTAAGAATAAAAAATTTGTAAAGTGGTTGTCCCACTGGCTATCATAAGGTGAATGCACCAATTTGTAAGTCGCTCTGGATAAGAGCGTCTGCTAAATGACGTAAATGTAATGTAAATGTAAAATGTAAAATGTATCTAGATCCTCTATGAGGCTGTGGAGGGATTCTAGTTGTGGATTTAAAAGAAAACATGAATCATCAGCGTACAATGACACCTTTGTTTTTAAGCCCTGGATTTCTAATCCCCTGATATTATTGTTGGATCTGATTTTAATAGCTAATATCTCAATGGCCACAATAAATAGATATGCCGATAGTCGACAACATTGTTTCAGTCCTCTTGACAGTTTAAAACTTTCTGAGAACAAGACATTATTTACTATTTTACACCTAGGGTTATTATACATGATTTTGACCCATTTTATAAGAGATTCTCCAAAATTGAAATGCTCCAGGCATTTATATATAAACCCCAGTCGTACTTTATCAAATGCCTTTTCGAAGTCTGCTATGAATAGCAGGCCTGGTTTCCCAGATTTTCCATAGTGTTCTATTGTTTCCAATACTTGCCTTATATTATCTCCAATGTATCTTCCATGTAAAAAACCTGTCTGATTAGAATGAATAATATCCGACAATACCTTTTTAATTATATGCGCAATACATTTTGCTAGAATTTTTGCATCACAACACTGAAGTGTAAGGGGCCTCCAATTTTTTTAATGGACTGGATCTTTAAAATTTCCACTTGTATCCTGTTTCAGTAATAATGAGATCTTCTTCTTGAGTGTCAGATAATCTACCATTTACATAGGAGTGGTTAAAACATACTAATAACGGTCCTCTTAGTATATCAAAAAAGGTTTGGTATACCTCGACTGGTATGCCATCCAACCCTGGAGTTTTCCCGGACTTAAAGTATTTAATTGTATCCAGAAGTTCCTCCTCTGTAATTTCACCTTCTCATGAGTCTTTCTGTATGGCTGTTAATTTTACATTATCAATAGAAAAAACATCTCTATAATTAGCTTCAGTTAGAGGAGACAGAGGTGACTGAAACGAAAACATATGCTTAAAGTACTTTGTTTCCTCCTTCAAAATATAATTTGGTGAATCTTGGGTGACTCAGTCAATTGTAACCAGTTTCATAAAATTATTTTTGGTAGCATTCCTATGTTGAAGATTAAAAAAGAATTTGGTGCATTTTTCCCCATAATCAATCCAGTTTGCTTTATTTTTATAATATATTACACTTGATCTTTCTTGAATAAGTTTCTCCATTTCATTTTGTTTTTCGTCTATGTTTTTATTGCCATCTATCTATTCTGTTAGACTTTCTATTTCCTTTGTTAGTATAAACTCTTTTGACCTAAATTGCTTTTGTTTTCGAGATGAGTACTGAATTGCATGGCCTCTAAAGGCACATTTAAAGGTGTCCCATACAATAATCTGAACCTTTTATTTAACTAGGCAAGTCAGTTATGATCATATTCTTATTTATAATGACGGCCTACCCCGGCCAAACCCTCCCTTAACCCGGACGACGCTGGGTCAATTGTGCGCCATCCTATGGGACTCCCGATCATGGCCGGATGTGATACAGCCCGGGATCAAACCAGGGTCTGTAGTGATGCCTCTAGCACTGAGAGGCAGTGCCTTAGACCGCAGCGCCACTCTCTAATTAATCTGTACACATAATTATCTCCACAATTTGTATGAAGCTAAATACAATTATAAACTGTAGGGGATTGTAGGGAGATGGGATATGCAGAGAGAGACAGTTGTGTGTGTGTGTGTGTGTGTGTGTGTACATCTGTTCGTTTGTATGTGTGTGTGTGTGTGTCCTTCAAACTCCTCCTTCCTCTCTCAGCAAAGGCTGTCACATATCGCTAGTGTCACCGCCAGGGTGTGACGTCACCACGTCTGAACTGAGTGTGACAGAAAGAGGGAGTAGATGAACCCTCACATCCCTAACTGCAGTGGATTATGCTATAGAACCATAAAGAACGAGGCTTTCCCTCTGGTTCAACGCAGGAGGGCTGGATGCTCAAACATGTACTACATGTCAGAGTAAATCCCCCCCGAAAATCTATCAGTGGGAGAGATCTACTGTCACATTGTTCAGGATGTCTGGTAGTTAGAGTGGTGTTCTGAAGTCTCTTCTATGTTATTATCTTCAGCCTGTACTAATCTCTGTGCTTCAGAAAGAGGAGTTTTACAGTAATATGTGTGTTTGAGTGCGCATGAGCGTGCGTTTGCATCTGTCATGTATCATTCTCTGAGATGTCAGATATCCAGAAAAAAAGCTCTGTCAACTCACTCTGCCCCTTCACAACGCAGCACAGGACAGAAACAGAAAGATAGAGAGCTAAATACAGTTTCTAATGTGACAGTGTGTGTGTGTGTGTGTGTGTGTGACAATGTGTGTGTGTGTGTGTGTGTGTGTGACAGTGTGTGTGACAGTGTGTGTGTGTGTGTGTGTGTGTGTGTGTGTGTGTGACTGTGTGTGTGTGCATGTGTGTGACAGTGTGTATGTGCGTGTGTGTGACAGTGTGTGTGCGTGTGTGTGACTGTGTGTGTGTGACAGTGTGTGTGTGTGTGTGTGTGTGCATGTGTGTGACAGTGTGTGTGTGTGACAGTGTGTGTGTGTGTGTGTGTGTAACTGTGTGTGTGTGACAGTGTGTGTGTGCGTGTGACTGTGTGTGTGTGTGCATGTGTGTGACAGTGTGTGTGTGTGCGTGTGTGTGACAGTGTGTGTGGGCGTGACAGTGTGTGTGTGTGCGACTGTGTGTGTGTGTGTGTGCATGTCAGTGACAGTGTGTGTGTGTGTGTGTGTGTGTGCGTGTGTAACCGTGTGTGTGTGCGTGTGTGTGACTGTGTGTGTGTGTGTGCGTGTGTGTGACAGTGTGTGTGTGTGCGCATGTGTGACAGTGTGTGTGTGTGCCTGTGTGTGACAGTGTGTGTGTGCGTGTGTGTGACTGTGTGTGTGTACTAAATACAGCATAATGACTAATCCTGTGGTGCGTTGCGAAGGGGCAGAGTGAGTTGACAGAGCTTTTTTTCTGGATATCTGACATCTCAGAGAATGAGACATGACAGATGCAAATGCACGCTCACACTCATGCGCATGCAAACACACATATACTGTACACACACATACCCTCTCATCTCTCTCTGGCGCTCAGAGAGTTTGGCAAAGATATTCATAGTGAGCTGACATTGGTCTGGTATTATTAATATAATAATAGATTCCTGCTTAAAACATTAGCTTATCTGCTCTGAGCTGAAATCTGACATTGAGAAGTCTATCTCCTCCAGAACACTTGTGAAATTATCAATATACCTCATCCAGCTTAACTAGGACAAATTTAAATTAATATAACATGCACTTAGGAGTTATGATATACCCCGATAAGAATGTTAATCATAGATTTTTCCAGATGTCACTTAAATTGTGTCATTCTGCACGGATTAACATACCTACTTTATATTTGTAAATATAGTATATTATTACTAAGCATAGTATCTCTTCTATTACTTGTTATTTTTTATTTAACTCTTATTATTGTATTATCTTTGAGGGAGCTAGCACACAAGCATTTCTCTGCACCTGTTATGCCTGCTGTAAACTGTGTATGTGACAAATAACATTTGATTTGATTTTGATATCAGTATAATGACGTTCCCATCGGCTATAACCCACAGTACTTTCTCAACCTTAAATCAGAGTGTGTGTCCCTGTATGGCCAGAGAAGATGACTCATCTCTTGTTCTCTCCTCCTTCTCTTGCTCCACTTATACCTTACACACGCACATGTGCACATACACTTACCTTCCACCACTTTCCCTGTCTGTTCGGCCACTCCTCCGAGCGTAACCTTGGCAATGTAAGCTCCTATCTCACCACGACTCCCAGGAATCTCTTTCCCTCCCACCACACGGATCCCCAGGCCATTCCCTGCAGGGAACACACACACACCAATGAAACATTATGGCCTGAAATTTCATATTGGAATTCCAGAGTTTGAGATCCTATTATTACAGTTGAATAGGCATATATTTGTACATTATAGAATGTTTGCTGTACGTTTGGGTGCTCTACCTGAAACGCTGGTGTCCTTGGGGTCTCTCTGAACTTTGATCCGGGTATGAGGGTACACATAGGGAATCAACTTCATCTGTGGGAGGGACAGGGACATCAGAACAGTCAAGGTACAGTACATTGATTACAACAACAACAACAACAATATGGCAGCACACCAATACAACTCAGCTAAAGACAACATGAACAACAGTCACTACCGATGTACATTAAATTATGAGAAAATATAGGATATTTAAGCAATAAGGTACGAGGGGGTGTGGTATATGTATATGGCCAATATACCACGGCTAAGGGCTGTTCTTAGCATGACGCAACACTGAGTGTCTGGATACAGCCCTTAGCCGTGGTATATTAGCCATATACCACACTCCCCAGAGGTGCCTTATTGCTATTATAAACTGGCTACCAACGTCATTAGAACAGTAAACATTTATTTTTTTCTCATACCCGTGGTATAGTCTGAGCCAATCAGCATTCAGGGCTCAAACCAACCGGTTTATAATGTTGTTTATTAAATGTAGTCAACAAATGTATATCTATCCAGCTCCTCTAACCTGTCTCCTGTCCAGAGCTTGTCCGTTTACCCGATGTTGTCTCTCTGCAGGCTTGTCAAACCAGTCAGTGTCCTCCCTCCTCAGGTGGTATGCTACACAGGGACAGAGACATGGGGAGGAGGAGACAGGGGTGGAGAAAGGGGGACAGGGACACAGACAGAGAGGGGATACTCAATGGTCAAACCCTTTACAAGCAGGATAGATGCCCAACTCCAAATCAACCACTAGCCTCTAGCCCCTGACCCTACATGTAGATCTGAAGGTATTAGCAATATTGTAATAACTCTAAATCACACTCTGCTAGGCTTGGCAGAGTCTATGTGAATGATCAGATCTACACAAGTGCCTTGGGGTGGGATCTAGGTGGCAATGTGGAACCCCCTTAAAATACTTTATAAACACATCCTTCGCTCCATGTCTACTGCTTCTAGGTGATCAGCGATCTGAGCTGTCTGGAGAGGTGAAGGCAGAGTGGTGGAAACCTTGCTCTGTCCCATCCCCAGCTGTTTAGATCAGTGATCACCTAGAAGCAGTAGACATGGAGCGAAGGATGTGTTTATAAAGTATTTTAAGGGGGTGCTACTCATGCCCAATTCCACATTGCCACCTAGCTCCCACCCCAAGGGACAGACTGAAGGTGAGTGTCTTCCACAGTCACAAGTACATTACAGTTCCCTTTGCCCTGAGACAGTGAGGTGGGACATTGTTAGCTGGTGTTGTTATCAGGGTGATCTAACATTATGATCAGTGTTGCATCTATCATCGTGTGAGAGACACTTGACAAATACTGACGTGGTATTCAGACATACCATTGCTGTGGTAATGTATGTCATGCAAATGTGGAGCCGTATCTGAACGACCTTGCAATAGTGCATGAACATGAATTCCAGAAATGGGTTTGATATATGTACAGAACCATTTAAATGTGGGTCATTCCAGAAATGGATTGGGTAACCACTACAGTATAATATATGTTTACAGTACATTAACATCAAGATATGGGTCATTCCATTATGAGTTTGATATGTGTAAAGTACCATTCAAATATGGGTCATTCCAGAAATGGGTCTAAAATGTTTGTGTGTGTGATACCATCGACATCAGGTCATTGAGCATCATGGGGCATGGGTGTTGTGGGGTGGAGGCAGACATTGTCTAAGCTACATGGGGTTGGGATGTGGTCTGGATTAGACCGTTCACACTGCAGCTCTCACCTTCTATGTTCCAGTTGGGGCCTCCGGCTGGGGTGTAAAGTTATATGTTTTAGAAACGGCTACAACACAACGTCAATTAATCTAAGACTTATTCAGTGGACTATGTCTCCATCCACTTACACTGTATATCACATGCACTGAACTAAATATAAGTGTAGCACATGCTTTGAAAGCAAATAAATACATCTTATAACATTATAGTCTTGCAGGGAGTTTGCATTTCTGAAGAGAAGTGCATGAAAGATGTATGTCATAATACAGCAATTGTAGAATAATTGTAAAATTATCTACCTACAAATACATGGGTATTTACTAAAATATATCAAATGCATAGCATTGACTTAGATACTGTAAAGTCACATGGGGACTAAAGCATTCTAAACATCAAAAGGTAGACTCAACTATATGACATCACAGTGGGGCGACTTATTTGCTCTTGCCAATTTGCGCCCTTCGTTGAGGCATGGCTGGGTATGATGATGTCATATTGCGGAGTGTCCCTTTAACATGGTGCTGCTGTATTAGTGGAGGGCAGGCAGCAGGGCCAGTGGGGAGGAACTAAACTATAATACTCTACCGTGTCTGATACTCTCATGAAAGATTCGGGGATCATCTCTGTTCAGTGTCAGCATGGAGTCATTTAGGGCTGGAACCAAGGCAGATAGACACTCTTATTTATGTAGGGTCAGAAATAGAGCATTCTGCTGCTTATCAGCTACTAACTGACCTGTCATTGGGGTCAGTTTTATAGTAAATGTAAAACTGTTTTACATGCTATTCAAATAAAAATGCTATGTAAAAATAATCAACTTGCATATATGTTTATTAGCATGTGCGTGTGTCTGTGTGTTTCTGCTTGTTTTTTCAAAAATATATTTTCAAATATGTAGAGTCAATGGTGTGCATTCTGAAACTAAATATCAGTAACTACACTATGCCGGGCCAATAGAAACATAGGGCAGAAGCATTGGGGCATGTTTAGGAGTGTGGTCCTGGTTAGAAAACAGAGATGCTAGAAGGACAGCTGTAATTTCACACTTACTCCACAGGAGGAGATAGGGAGAGAACACATTAATATGCTACCAATCAGAAGAGAGCATGCACATTAGTCGCTTAGAAACATTTAAAGCATCCAACATCATGCAAAAGACGATTTCAAGCTTTATTGAAATGGAAACTCAAACACATTTTATCTCACAGCGACATGCATGAATACAAAATGGAAATACTCAAGATGGGCAGGGATGAATATGCTATAAATAACTGTGTAGTGTGAGTATCATAACATACACTGAGTGTACAAAACATTAGGAACACCTTCCTAATATTGAGTTGCACCCCCTTTTGCCCTCAGAACAGCCTCAATTCGTTGGGGCATGGACTCTACAAGGTGTCAAAAGAGCTCCACAGGGATGCTGGCCCATGTTGACTCCAATGCTTCCCACAGTTGTGCCAAGTTGGCTGGATGTCCTTTGGGAGGTGGACCATTCTTAATACACACGGGAAACTGTTGAGCGTGAAAAACCCAGGAGCATTGCAGTTCTTGACTCACTCAAACCGGTGAGCCTGGCACCTACTACCATACCCCGTTCAAAGGCACTTAAATGTTTTGTCTTGCCCATTCACCCTCTGAATGGCACACATACACAATCCATGTCTCAATTGTCTCAAGGCTTGAAAATCCTTATTTAACCTGTCTTCTCCCCTTCATCTACACTGATTGAAGTGGATTTAACAACTGACATTAATAAGGGATCATAGCTTTCACCTGGTCAGTCTATGTCAGGGAAAGAGCAAGTGTTCTTAATGTTTTGTATACTCAGTGTATATGTCTACTATGGGTCCATATCTAAAACTCAAATACACAAACAAATAATCTATATAATCCCTAGGGAAACAATGTAATTGCATTGCAATATAAAAGTGAGCATAAGCTCTCTGTATTATTACTGCTGTAATAGTTTGTGTGCATTTCTGGTAAAGAGACAAAGTGAGTGAAGCAGGTACTATATAAATGGCTGACTGCATCGTCTGAACAATTACAGTAAGTAGACCCAGACCCACACATAGTGATTCAGCATTATGCCTTTAAAATGGATGCTGACAGCAGGCCAAGCTCCACAATAGCTGCAAGGGTGCTTGGAAAAGTAAATATATGTCTGTCTAAAGGCCTGACCTACTTCCTACAAAAACCAGACACCATTTTCTGTCAGGAGAAGAAAAGGAAAGGAGAGGAGAGAGGAGGAGGAGTGGTGTACAGTAGACGACAGGGCATGTAGTCCCAGGGTATTTCTCTCTGTCATCCTATCATGAATCTAACAGCCTGTATAGACTATAGATAGCACCCAGATTGTAGCGACAGTTTACCAGCTACTGTTGCATATTCATTAGTCTCCCACTCATTTAAATAGGCTATCACCCTCTTCAAAAGCAGTCCACAGAGGCACTTAAAGTGTGTGCTATTTATGATCACATATAATACACTATTTTTACTTCACTGTTCTGTATGGTTAAAAGAAGCCCTGTATCCATCCCATAATAAATTTGGTCAGTGATGAAAGCAGGAAGCCAACATGTAAAAGAAGAGAAGAGACCTGGAGCATGCTAATAACAACACAGACACACAAGGCGGTCTCATACATAACATCAACAGTATTACGTATCGGTGAAGAAGACAATAGAACAAATAGTGTTGCATGCAGAGATCAAACAAGACAGAAACATAAACCAGAATAAAAGACAAAGACAGCATGATGATAAAACCATGTGAAATAATAAGTGATGAGGACAACAGAGACAGAGTCAAAGCCTTCTCAGACATAAACACAGTCAGGAGCATTGCAGCATGTCCAGAGACTCAGGGTGCTGTGAAAGCCTCAGGAGCCATTTACCTTCGCTGTCAGACATCGCTCCCCCCAGATCGTCCATGATGAAGGCTATGTCTCTGTCATAGACCCCACTATGTCCTCGTGTAGCCCTGGACTCCTCCCTCATGTGCTGCTGGACCTCCGGAAGGGAGTGGCTGGAGCCAAACTGGTCTCTGGAGTCAGCTGAGATAGGTGGTAGAGGGCCGGCTGAGGCTCTGGCCATGCCCATGGGCTCTCCCACCGGGCTCAGAGGGCTCTCCTCTTCCGAGTTCTGAGCCACGATGGGGATGCGCCCGATGGGCAGGCTGGTGGGCTTGGTCCTGGCCACCCCGGAGCCGAACGCTGCATCCAGGGCTTCTCCCTCGCTCCTCAGCCTGAGAGAGGAGCTGGACAGATCCCGTTTGATGGACAGATCCAGGCCGTAGACAGAAGTGGGGCGGGAGTTGGGTCGTGAGGAGGGGCGAGAGCGCGTGCAGCTGGGGTAGGTGGTGTCATCCTGTAGGGTGGACCTCATGGTGGGTCCCCCCAGGCCAAGGGACTGGCTCAGAGAGCCAGCAAGGTTAGCTCCCAGGGAGGAGCCCAGGTACTTCTGCTGGTCAGACAGGTTCTTCTTCAGGCCAAAGTTGATCTCATCCTGGAGCAGTCTGGCTCGTGTGGACAGGTTGGTGACTGATGAGGCTCCAGAGCCCAGGAAGCTGCTGTAGTCTGGCTCCAGGTCTCTGCTCTCCTGGATGGGGGAGAACTTGGTTATCTTGGGGTCCATCAGGGCTGCCTTCTTCTGGTTCTTGATCTGTTTCTGGTAGAGCACGGCAGCAGGAAGCTGCTTGGCAGCCTGTTTCTCCAGGGTCAGCCGGCTGATGCTGTACTTCTCAGCCTTAGGGAAGTGTCTGAAGGTTGGGTCAGTGGAGAGGTACTGAGGCATTCCCAGGCCTGAGAGGTGCTCCAGACCCTCCGTCCCTCGTCTAAACTCCTGCTTTATCTGTTGCTTCAGGAGCTTCAGTTCATAGGGCTCTTCCATAGAGTCCTCCTCTACTTTACCGTAACTGTGGAGACGTGAGTTACCCAGGAACGCAGCCACCTAAATAAAGAAAATAAAATCATCATCATATTACATTTAATTTTAAGCAACTTTCAGCAAAACCAGCACAAGGCACATTGAAACAGAATATATAACAAAACCCACATATCACAGGAAGAGCATACAGTCAGGGAAAAAAGTATTTGATCCCCTGCTGATTTTGTACGTTTGCCAACTGACAAAGAAATGATCAGTCTATAATTTTAATGGTAGGTTTATTTGAACAGTGAGAGACAGAATAACAACAAAAAAATCCTAAAATGCATGTAAAAAATGTTATAAATTTATTTGCATTTTAATGAGGGAAATAAGTATTTGACCCCCTCTCAATCAGAAAGAGTTCTGGCTCCCAGGTGTCTTTTATACAGGTAATGAGCTGAGATTAGGAGCACACTCTTAAAGGGAGTGCCCCTAATCTCAGTTTGTTACCTGTATAAAAGACACCTGTCCACAGAAGCAATCAATCAATCAGATTCCAAACTCTCCACCATGGCCAAGACCAAAGAGCTCTCCAAGGATGTCAGGGACAAGATTGTAGACCTACACAAGGCTCGAATGGGCTACAAGACCATCGCCAGGCAGCTTGGTGAGAAGGTGACAACAGTTGGTGTGATTATTCGCAAATGGAAGAAACACAAAATAACTGTCAATCTCCCTCAGCCTGGGGCTCCATGCAATATCTCACCTCGTGGAGTTGCAATGATCATGGAAACGGTGAGGAATTAGCCCAGAACTACACTGGAGGATCTTGTCAATGATCTCAAGGCAGCTGGGAACATATTCACCAAGAAAACAATTGGTAACACACTAGGCCGTGAAGGACTGAAATCCTGCATCGCCCGCAAGGTCCCCCTGCTCAAGAAAGCACATATACATGCCCGTCTGAAGTTTGCCAATGAACATCTGAATGATTCAGAGGAGAACTGGAGAAAGTGTTGTGGTCAGATGAGACCAAAATCGAGCTCTTTGCCATCAACTCAACTCGCCGTGTTTGGAGGAGGAGGAATGCTGCCTATGACCCCAAGAACACCATCCCCACCGTCAAACATGGAGGTGGAAACATTATGCTTTGGGGGTGTTTTTCTGCTAAGGGGACAGGACAACTTCACCGCATCAAAGGGACGATGGACGGGGCCATGTACCGTCAAATCTTGGGTGAGAACCTCCTTCCCTAAGCCAGGGCATTGAAAATGAGTAGTGGTTGGGTATTCCAGCATGACAATGACCCAAAACACACGGCCAAGGCAACAAAGGAGTGGCTCAAGCTGAAGCACATTAAGGTCCTGGAGTGGCCTAGCCAGTCTCCAGACCTTAATCCCATAGAAAATATGTGGAGGGAGATGAAGGTTCGAGTTGCCAAACGTCAGCCTCGAAACCTTAATGACTTGGAGAAGATCTGTAAAGAGGAGTGGGACAAAATCCCTCCTGAGATGTGTGCAAACCTGGTGGCCAACTACAAGAAACGTCTGACCTCTGTGATTGCAAACAAGGGTTTTGCCACCAAGTACTAAGTCTTGTTTTGCAGAGGGGTCAAATACTTATTTCCCTCATTAAAAAGCAAATCAATTTATAACATTTTTGACATGGGTTTTTCTGGATTTTTGTTTTGTTATTCTGTCTCTCACTGTTCAAATAAACCTACCATTCAAATTATAGACTGATCATCTCTTTGTCAGTGGGCAAACGTACAAAATCAGCAGGGGATCAAATACTTTTTTCCCTCACTGTATACTTTAAATCAGTGGAGGCTCCTCAGAGGATATTGTTAAACATTAAAAAGGGTATCCTTTTTAGATAAAACTATACTACATACATTCACGTCACCAAATAACTGATTAAAACAAACTATTTTGCAATGAAGGTCTACAGTAGCCTCAACAGCACTCTCTGGGGTAGCACCATGGTGTAGCCGGAGGACTGCTATTTTCCGTCCTCCTCTGGGTACATTTACTTCAATACAAAACCTAGGAGGCTCATGGTTCTCACCCCCTTCAATAGACTTACAGAGTAATTATGACAACTTCCGGAGGACGTCCTCCAACCTATCTGAGCCCTTGCAGCATGAACTGACATGTTGTCCACACAAATGATCAGATAATTAATTTAGTATTGAAAGCATAAGCTATAGCTAGCTAGCACTGCAGTGCATAAAATGTGGTGAGTAGTTGACGCAAAGAGACAGCAAGACCATAGTTGAACAGTTTTGAACAAATTAATTCCTTCAAAAACTAAGGAGAAGCAGCAGAGAGGGAGAGAGGGAGAGAGAGAGAGAGAGAGAGAGAGAGAGAGAGAGAGAGAGAGAGAGAGAGAGAGAAAGAGAAAAAGAGAGCTAGCTATGTTTCGTCGTATTTTTTTTCCACTTTCACTTACTTAGCTAGCTAATCCAGCTAGCTAATTTAGCCTACTCAAACACCCAACTCAAACAGAGAGGAATGCTAATTATGCTAGCTAAGGCTACCCAACACTGGAACTTTCCAAGTCAAGGTAAGCTTTGTTTTTTTGTTTTTTTATTGCCACTGGGGCCCGCTGGTGTAACTGCTAAACTGCTTGCTGTACACTGTACTGCGTGATTGTAGCGGGTTTACTAACGCATTAGTTCTAGTAGCTATGTTGACTATGACGTTAGCTAATATGGTGACAACGATGTAGGCTGTGTGTAGCGATTAACAGTTATGATATGAAGGTTTGGCTTGGAAATGTTTTTTCGCCTGGTCACAGACAGCTGTTGTGTTGTGCACTGAAGTCCACAAGCGAAGGGAAAAGGTGAGAGGAGGAGAGTGCGTAGCTGCGAGAAGGAATTATAGAACGAGCAAAGTGATGTTGCTGTATGTTTGTGGCTGCTATGAAGGTGAACTGTGTGTGCGGTTGATCAGGTGTATTCATTCCGCCGATTCTGTTGAAAAACTTTTCTTAAACGGCAACAAACGGAACGAAACGTGGATAAACTTACCTGAATTTGTTCAATAGAAACTTTCGTTTGCAACTGTTTGGACTAATGATTACACCCTAGATCTGCTAGATGCAGGCAAGAGTGTACGAGGCGGTATTGAAAGTGTCACTGTCTGTCACCTTGATTACTTTAATTTTTCTCTCGACCTGTGCACCTACATTATAAACTTTAATTCGTAGGCTAGGTTGTAGCAACCTCATAAAGGGTATAGGGAAAATTAGAGTATCATATAGTAGACTAAACCTTTCGATGTTACATTGAGCTGGGTGAATGGAATATGAATGACAGTCATCCAATATGCTGTAATAAAAATAAGGCTAATCAAAAAACAATGTGTCCTCCCTAATCTTAAACAGCACTGACTGCCACTGCTTTAAATACATAACAGTTACCTCTGCAGTGCGCCTGGCCTCAGCGGCCCGGAGCAGCCTGTCAGCCTTGGACAGGTCCTTATCAGGCAGACTGAACCCTGACCCAAGTCCTGCAGAGCCTTTAGTCAGCTGCTCTATGTCCTCTATCAGAACATAGTTCCTGGCGTTGTGGTGGTCGATGTCAGCGTAGAAGGACTCAGTAGATATATTAGACATGGGGCTGGAGGCCATGCTCCTCTCCTCCAGGCCCATCCTTAGTTCCAGGCTGTCGTACTTCCCCACCCCATACCCAACCTCGCTGGAGGAGGGTACAATGATGATGGGCTGGTTCCGGATCACCTCGTAGTTGGTGGTGTTCTTGGACTGGTAGCCTGAGGACTGCGCCTGCTGGTGGGAGTGGGAGGCCTGGGGGTAGGACAGGCTGGGCACAGAGGAGTAGACTGACTGACTCTGGTAGGGGTGCTGCTGGTACAGGGCCTGCTGCTGGTACAGGGTCTTCTGGGGGTACTGGCTGGTGGCCTGGGTCTGGGGGGCATACTGGGTGTAGTGGGAGTAGGGACTGGTCAGAGTGGAGTACTGAGAGTCAGCCTCAGTCTGAGGGGGGATGAACTGGTCAAACTCTGACTGGGGAGCTGTCCTGGGTCTCTCCAGGCCGAGGTTGCTCCCTCTGGTCTCCCTGATGTTGCTGACCTCACTGTCCGACATGTAGTCTCTCTCCTCAGCCACACCCTGCAGGTAGGCCCTCTCCCTCTTCTCCCTCTCCTGCAGTAGGGCATCCTTACGACGGTTGATGCCCATCTCAAGGTACCTGTTAGAAGGAGAAGATGGGATTGGATTTACAGAGCCATGAAAAAGTATTTGCCCCCTTTCTGTTTTCTCTATTTTTGCATATTTTTGATACTGAATGTTATCAGATCTTCAACCAAAACCTAATATTAGATAAAGGGAACCTGAGTTTACAAATAACAAAAATATACTTATTTTATTTATTTAATTAAAAAGTTATGCAACACCAATTCCCCTGTGTGAAAAAGTAATTGCCCCCTTACACTCAATAACTGGTTGTGCCACCTTTAGCTGCAATGACAGAACTGACTTAACTCAGCGACACTTGTGGGTTTTCAAGCATGAACTGTTTGTTTTAAGTCCTGCCACAACATCTCAATTGGGATTAGGTCTGGACTTTGACTAGGCCATTACAAAACTTCAAATGTGTTGCTTTTTAACCATTTTCATGTATACTTGATTATGTGTTTTGGATCATTGTCCAGCTGTGCTTCAGCTTCAGCTCACAGACGGATGGCCTGACATTCTCCCGTAGAATTCTCTGATACAGAGCAGAATTCATTGCTCCTTCTATTAAGGCAAGTCGTCCAGGTCCTGAGGCAGCAAACTATCCCCAAACCATCACACTACCACCACCATGCTTAACCATTGGTATGCGTTGGTATGAGGTTCTTACTGTAGAATGCAATGTTTGGTTTTCGCCAGACATAATGGGACCCATCTCGTCCAAAAAGTTGACTCAAATTTGCCAAAAATCACCTGGAAGCACCTGGATGATCATCACGACTCTTGGAAGAATGTTCTATGGACAGATGAGTCAAAAGTATATATTTCTGGACGATATGGGTCCTATTATGCCTGGGGGAGTGTGTGTGTGTGGGGGGGGATCACTTCATACACACCAATGTGTTCTACTCATCTAAAGTATGTTATTGTATTGTAAATCATAACTGCTTCTTAATTGACTTGCCTCTTTCACAAATGTAAAAATTAATAAATTACCTCAGCTTGGCATCAATCTCTTTCTCCTCCTCATCTAGCTCGGCCTGTTTCCTGCGGAGCTTGGATGACTCTCTCTCCACCAGGTCCAGCTCCTTGTCAATGTCCTGCAGGATCTTGGCCCGGGCCATGGTGGTGTGACGGCCAAGCCGGCGACGGGCTGAGTTGGTGCTGTAACCTGACGGGCCAGTCAGAAGGTCATCTTCAGGGGGTGGGTTGGGAAGGGTCCTCTTCACCTTCTTTCCCGTGCCTGACGAAGAGCCCTGGCCCTAGGACAGACAGAGGAAAAATCAATAAGACAATAGATAAGATAAGAGTACTTAAAGATGCAGTCCGGGATCTTAAGCACAGAACATTTGTACATATCAGGATGACATAGTACACAAAGAACGGGGACCCGCTTTGGCTTGTGAGCAACACTTTCAAAACCACTGGTTGAAATTATACAAAAGTTCTGGTTTTTACTTTCAACAAACATTTCAACAGCATGCAATCAATGTGTTTTACAATGCCTTTAACATGGTCATATTTAACACTATTTTATATTCCCAGTATTCTTACTACAATGACTTACAGAGTAGCTGTCTGAGTAGTGGTAGCCTATCCTGTCCTCGGTTGTGTGGCTGACAGACTTAGGGTCAGACATAGAATATTGTCCAGGCTTCAGCATCCTAGGGCTGGAGGAAAACCTGGTCGGGTCAGCGGTCAGCATCTTCTGCCCTCCCTCTATGGCCTTACTGGAGGAGACGGGGGACACAGGGGTGTAGAGCTCCTTGGGGGACTTGGGGGCGATGTCTGCCTTCAGGTAGGCACTGTAGCCCACCTCTACCGGTGAGTAGCGCCTCCGGTCTGTGTCTGTCTGGCAGCTGAGACTGCCTCCTCTCTGAGAGTTCTCTGGGGCTGAGATGTGTTTGATGATCTCCACCTTAGTGTCCATCTGGATGCTGGGGCGTTTGATGCTCCCGGAGTGGTCGGTCTGGACAGAGATCTCTGCCACAGTCTGTATGGCAATGCTGGAGACCTTAGAGCCGCCGTGTTTCCCCTCACCGCTGTGCTTACTGGAGCGGGAGCGCCGCCGCGACCTGGCTGGCATGTCCCACTCATCCTCCTGGTCCTCCTCATCATCAGTCTGAACACTGCTGTCTACACCCCTCCTGTTGTTCCTCTTCCTCCTCCCTACATACATCCTGTCTACTGAGTCCTCATCGTCTGTCTGGACCCCACTGTCCACTATCCTCTTCCCTACCACTCCTGTACCATACCCCTGGTCACCAGGCTGGTTAGACCCTGCTAGTTGTTTCCTACTGAGCTGCAGCTGGTCCTGACCTCCAACCTCTCTCTGACCCTCGCTGGTCCCATACTGCACCCCACCCTCTAGCTGGGTGACAGTGGATGAGGTGGTGGACTCATCCCTAACAGGCCAGTATTGGCCGTTATCCCCAACCCCTGCATACTGCTCCTCTAATTGCAGGTTGTCTGACCCTGTAGTACTGTAGTGCTCCTCTAATTGGTGCTGTAGCTGCACCTGGAGCTGTTGGATCTGCTCTAGCTGTTGCCTCTGCTGGTTGTAGGTCTCTTGCTGGGCTACAAGTTGGGCCTGGTGCTCCTCTTCCTGTTGCATTAACAGCTGCTTTTTCAGAGCCTGTAGAATATAATAGATTAGATTAACGTTATCGTCCATCACCTTACAGTATCTGATACAAACATATTAAAAACAGTGAGCATGAGCAGTGACCACGACACAGGAGACATATACAGTACACACACATTCATACCTGTAGCTCTTCCAGCTCCCTCTGCACCATGATCTGCTCCTGTTCACGGTAGCGCTGGATCTCCTGTCTCTCCCACTCCAGCTCCTCAGCCAGACACAGCTGCTTCAGCTTCTCCAGCTCCAGGAACTCCCTCTCCATCTGGTACTGGGTGATCTTGCTGTCATCCAGACCTGGGAACATAGGCGATGAAGCCAGGGCGTCCAGAGAGGCTGCTATGGCCTCCAGGGTCTGGTCAGAGTACAGGTCAGGGAAGCCAGTCATGATGTCAGCCAGAGCGCTGGGCAGCAGGTCCTTGGGCAGGCCAGTGTCCAGGCTGATGATCTGTTGGCCAGGGTCACTGGTGGGGATAAAGCCATAGGGGTGTGGAGCTGGCGCTGGCTGCTCCTGGAGGGTTGTGGTAGGAGGTAGGGTGGTGCTGAAGATGGACCGTGGCTGGGTGGTGATGGTGTATGTAGAAGGAACAGGGGCTGCTATGGAGGAGTATACCATTCCATCTGAGGATCTAAAGACACTATAAGCAGGGACCTGGGAATATGGAGCAGTGGATATTCCCGTATACGCCCCAGCAGCTTTACTGGTGTAGTCTAGAGCTTCACCTGTCATGATGGGTCCAGAAATGTAGGTTTAAGTCAATGATTATAACATCATAACGTTACAAAAAAAGGCCATGCAGATTCGATTTGGGGAGATAATAACACTAAGCATGCAAGTATCTTCAGTCTGTCCAGCTAGCATGATGCAAAGCCAAAATATTGTGGGAGAACACGCAGGCATACACATGCATCTGTGTAAAAGAAAGAAAAGACAAAAGGAACAGAACATTTATTAAAATCAAGATAGTTTCACAAATCATGCAAAAGTACAGTAAATGCACATTTTAATCATAATAGAAAATTAACATAATGATAACTGAGGTAAAACAATGTCTAGAGAAATAGGTTACCATTCAGAAATAAACTTCATGCAGGTAAAAAGTTTAAATGAACCCAAAACCTAGCAAACGTGCTATATTTCGACCATACCAACCTGCAGACATATTAGCAGCTGTCAGGTCTATTGCACTGTCCGAGGCTCCGTTATAGTCATATCTGGTCATTCCATCATAGAGGAACAGTCCTGCATCAGCCAGGTTGGTCTCAGACATGGATTTGCCGTTCAGGCCCTTGATGCCATAAACCCCAGCATGATCATACTGGTAGTGGTCGTCTCTGTAGCCAAAGCGATTGTCAGGCTGGGTAATAACTGGCGGCTGGGTCCTACAGCTCCCTGTGAAAGGTAGCTTGTAGATGACATCACAGCACATATTCCTCCCAGCTGTCAGATCTATGGGTGTCCCATCATCCTCTATGACCGTGGTCACTACACCAGGGCTCTTGCCGGACACAGCCACCATAGCCCTGAGGGGTCTGGAGGAGGACAGATCCACAGCTCCAGCTGGCTCTGAGAGCATGGCCCCCACGTTGGTGATAGCTGGGGCCATGGTCACTGGAAGCCTGCTATTTACCATGAAGGCTCCATAGGACAGGTTGATTGGTGTCTCTGTGTCTGTGGCTGCCACCGTGTTGACGATAGGCGAAGAGTCCACCCGTCTGTACACTATTTGTGCCAGAGGCTCGAATGGTTTGTATGTGGTAAGAGGGAGAGGCATGGAGGCAACATAACCCTGCAGATCTAAAGGCTTTTCTGCTGGCTCGTTGGTGTAGGAGGCAATGGTGGCTGAACAGGTGACGATAGTGATGCTATCAGTGACAACAGACAGCGTGGTGGAAGGGGTGATCTCAGCACTCAGGTTTACTATCTCTGGCTGCACTGCCGTATGTCGGCCACTAGAGTCGCTACAGATGGATTGGCGACTCGATTCCTGGGGTGTCAAATCCATCCCTGAATCGGTCATCTTCACACCGACCTTAATGGTGCGGAGGTCAATGGCATCACCGGAGTAGATCTTCCCGTTCTGTTTGGGAGAGGGCTGGACTTTAACCAGGTCTGGCTGGATGGTGATGGCCACTCCATTGGATGCAGGAACCTGGGCCAGCCTCTCATGGACCACAGACACAGTGGTTCTCTGAACCTCAGTGGTGACCACCTGAGTGACCAGGCTGGGCAGGCACTCTGGGGGCTGGGCTGAGGTGGAGATAGATGAGGAGTACATGTGGCTCAGGCTGGACACCACCTTCTCAGGCCCACGGATCTCCTGGCTCTCGATTGACTCCTGGTGGAACTTCCTGGTGATGGTGACTGGAGCCACCGGGACGGTCTGGGGAATTTCCTGGATAGATGGAACTGACATTCTCCTGGTGTAGGCTTCAGTTGTAATGAACTCCAGGGGGGTCTCATACTCTGATGAATAAGTCAGCACTTCTGATACTGCCTGTGGTGGTTGCACTGCTGAGAGGATGGATCCTCTCCTGTATGGGACTTGGGCAGCATATGCCTCTACAGGTATCTCTGTCTCTGCAGGTATTGTGATAACATGGGCCATACTTAGGGGTTGCTGCATGGTTATAGACGCTCTTCTTGTAGTGGAAATAGCCTCAGTTGTAACCACCTGGATGGGTGTTTCATATTCTGATGGGTAAGCCGTTACTTCAGCAACAGTGTATGGTTGTTGTGCTACAGAGTATATGGATGTCCTTCTAGTGGTAGTGGCCTCAGTTGTTATAACTTCCGTAGGCATTTCATACTCTGAAGGCAAAGTCATCACTTCGGCCACTGCTTGTGGTTGCGGTGCAGCTGATGGTATTGATGATATCTCCTGCTGTAAGGGCATTGCTGCTACCCCTGCCATGGTTTGTGCCTGCTGCATTGGTGATGGTATTGATGCTCTCCTAGAGATGGCCTCAGTTGAAACCACTTCTATCAGTGATGGTGACTGATGCATGGTTGAGGGTGTAGCTTCTACATGGACCTGGCTGGCGATAGCTTCGGTATGTATTTCCTGCTGTAATGGCATTACCTCTCCCATGATTTGTGGTTGTTGCATTTCTGATGGTATTGATGCTGTTCTAAAGATGGCCTCAGTTGAAACCACCTCTATCAGTGATGGGGACTGATGCATGGTTGAGGGTGAAGCTTCTATATGGACTTGGCTGGCGATAGCTTCGATAGGTATCTCCTGCTGTAAGGGAATTGCTGCTACCTCTGCCATGGTTTGTGACTGCTGCATTGGTGATGGTATTGATGCTCTCCTAGAGATGGCCTCAGTTGAAACCACTTCTATCAGTGATGGTGACTGATGCATGGTTGAGGGTGTAGCTTCTACATGGACCTGGCTGGCGATAGCTTCGGTATGTTTATCCTGCTGTAATGGCATTACCTCTCCCATGATTTGTGGTTGCTGCATTTCTGATGGTATTGATGCTGTTCTAAAGATGGCCTCAGTTGAAACCACCTCTATCAGTGATGGGGATTGATGCATGGTTGAGGGTGAAGCTTCTATATGGACTTGGCTGGCGATAGCTTCGATAGGTATCTCCTGCTGTAAGGGAATTGCTGCTACCTCTGCCATGGTTTGTGCCTGCTGCATTGGTGATGGTATTGATGCTCTCCTAGAGATGGCCTCAGTTGAAACCACTTCTATCAGTGATGGTGACTGATGCATGGTTGAGGGTGTAGCTTCTACATGGACTTGGCTGGCGATAGCTTCGGTATGTATATCCTGCTGTAATGGCATTACCTCTCCCATGATTTGTGGTTGTTGCATTTCTGATGGTATTGATGCTGTTCTAAAGATGGCCTCAGTTGAAACCACCTCTATCAGTGATGGTGACTGATGCATGGTTGAGGGTGTAGCTTCTACATAGACTTGGCTGGCGAGAGCTTCGATAGGTATCTCCTGCTGCAATGGCATTACCTCTGCCATGGTTTGTGGTTGCTGCATTTCTGATGGTATTGATGCTGTTCTAGAGATAGCCTCAGTTGAAACCACCTCTGTCAGTGATGCTGACTGATGGATGGTTGGGGGCATAGCTTCTAAGGGCATTGCTATTAACTCTCCCATGGTTTGTGGTTGCTGCATTTCTGATGGTATTGATGCTCTTCCAGACATGGCCTCAGTTGAAACCACCTCTGTAGGTATGTCCTGCTCTGCTGGTAAAGCCATTACTTCAGCCACATATTGTGGCTGCTGAGGTACAGCAGGTATTGATGCCCTTCTACCATAAGCTTGAGCTGCAGACACTTCTACAGAAACCTGTGGCTCTGATGGCATTGTCCTAACCTCAGACACTTTCTGTGGTGACTGGTCTGTTGGAGGTATATACGGTTTCTTGATTGGAGCTGGGACACTGTGTACCTGAATAGGCCTCTCCGACCCTGCTGAAATGGTCACCACCTCAGCCACACCGTGTGGAGGCTGCATAGCTGATGGTATGGAAGGCCGCCTTGCTGTTGCAGTGACTCCCTCTAGGGGTGTTGCTACTTCGACTGGTACTATTGCTGCTGTTGGTGGTGGTGGCTGCCTCAATGAGGGAACTGATGCTCTCCTGACAGTGGTCTGGGCTGAGAAGGCCTCAATGGGTGACTGTTGTTCTGATGGTGTGGTCCTAACCCTTGGGCCTGTCTGCATAGTGGAGGGGATGGACCCTCTCCTGATGGGGGCTTGGACAGTGATGCCCTCTGTGGGTGTGCCAGGCTCTGAGGGAAGTGTTATCACCACATATGTTTCCAGACAATTGGCGTACCTCGGAGACAGAGGGGACCTGGGCGAGGTAGCACTCATCTTGGGCTCCACTGGGGTGGTCAGACTCAAATACAGGGCATTGGGAGGTTCTCTGGTCCTGGGCAGTGTTGTGGCTGTGAATGGCTGTGCTATGCTGGCGTTTGGTACCACTTCTCTGGTCCTGGGAAGTGTACGGCTAGTGGTGGGAACCACTGGAGGTTTGATGCTCTCCCCTGGACGGTGGCTGAACACCAGCCCTGCAGGGATGGACACAGGCTTGGGGGGGACTGGAGGGGGTGCAGAGGCCTTGTGTACCGGACTGGGGCCTGTGGTTGTTACAGTTGCCTGTGCTATTGTAACAGCAGTTGAGACTGGCACTGTAGTTGGGACTGAAGGTGGGATGGAAACTGAAGGCTTTTTGGGATAAACCACTGGCTTGGGTAAGGTGGCAGGAGGTGGTGGAGCAGTGGGAGGAGGTGGAGGTGGTGGTGTATCTGCCACAGGTATACATGTGTCTGAGCTGGGTACAGCAGGAACAGAGGGAGCAGTAGGGAAAGGAGCAACACTCACAACCACAGGCCCTGCTGCCATCTGACTTCTGCCTTTATCAACAGCAGAGGTGGTAGTTATTGCCACTGAGTATGCCACAGGGTCTTGGGTCGTCTGGCTGATCACCGGCATGTTCTCCACGTTCGGAACTATGATGACCACATGCCCCTGTCTGGTTGGGGTCATCATGACCTGAGGGCCAGCACCACCCTCTGACACGATCTGCTCCACCCGCGGCTGTATATCCACCACCACAGACTGTATGGGCTGGCTAGGCAGACCTGCTCCAATGGCTATAGCGGTGGTCATGGTCGGGGAGACATGTTGGACAGCCCTGATTGACGTAGGCTCTGCTGAGGTCTGGGGCAAGGAGACTGACGTAGAGCGAGGTGGAGGAGGAGGTGGGGCTTTTTTGGTGGAGGCTTGTCTCTGGATTCGGCGTGTCCCTGCAGCTGGGACTACTACTGGGGTTGGAGCTGCAGCCTGGACAGGGACTGAATGCACCACTGTAGCCTGGGCAGGAGCTGAGGCTAACACAGGTAGTGGGCCTTGGGGTGAAACTGGAGAGGTGATGGTAAGCAGGTCTGGCATTTGGACTACAACTGGAGCTGGGGCAGGAGTTGGAGCAGAGACTGAAGCCGGAGTTGGCACTGCACTGGGAGCAGCTGAGACTGGAGATGGGGCTTGAGAAGGTACTGGGTATGGTACTGGAGTTGGTGCTGTGACCTGCACAGAAGGTAGAACCTGAGCAGACATCTGGGATGGAGATGTAACCAGGTCTGGCATTTGGACTACAACTGGATCAGGTATCTGTACTATCACTGAGGCAGGTGCTGAGACAGGGGTTGAGGCAGGAGCTGGGGCTTGGGCTGGAGAAGCTGTAGCATCGGCTGTAGTTGTAGCTGGTGTTGGTGCTTGGGTTGGATCTGTCACCAGATCTGGTATTGTGACCAAAACTGTGCTTGGAGAAACAGCCATAATGGGAGCGATAGAAGGAGGGGCGATATCAGCAGGCGGCTGAGCTGCAAAGGGAGCTGCTGCTTTGGCCAGGTCTGGTGTCGGAGTACACACTGCAGTAGAGTCAGAAGAGAGAGGACTTTGAGCTTGGAACGAGGTGGAGGACGTAGCGTTGGAGCCTAGACTTGAGTCTGGAGTCGCTGGTGAGGTTGGCAGGGATACTGGAGAGACCTGTGATGGTGTGGTGGTCGTACTGGGGGCTAGAACTTTCTCAGGGGCAAAGAGAGGAGCTGAAGTAGCTTTAGCCGAGGAAACCTCACACAACAAAGTGATGGGTTCAATGTCAGCTACCTCTGTTGTTGGTGTCTCAGACTCATCACTAGGGGTAATATCAGAGGACACTCCCACTCCATACTCCTCTATTAGACTATCATCCGTCTCATCCTCTCCAGAGGAACACTGGGTGATCTTCAAGTCCGGTATGGGGAAAAGAGCCCTCCTCATAGTCATATCCTGAGGAACTGTTGGCCGTTTAGGAGGTTCAGAGGGCCGTGGTGGAGCAGGACGTTTCTTCCTCTTAACGTAGGTAGAACCAGCATCTAACATAGGCTTCTCCCCCTTGGCCTCACCAACTTTGCAGCTCTCAGCTGCAGCAGAGGATGGTGCAGTAACATGTATCGCAGGATTAGGAGTGTTGATAGCTGACTGAACCTTCTGAAACTCCTGCTCTATCAACATCAGTTCCTTCTTCTTCAGCATCATCTCCTCATACACCTCTTCAGGAGACCTCAAACCTTTCTTCCCTGGCTCTTTAGCAGGGTCTTTACTGGGCTGCTCCGGTAGGGCTGAACTACGTTTAGCTTCAGGCTCCTCCACTAGGGATTCGTAGAGGTAGTCCTCTATGGCCATGCCTTCGTAAAGTAGCTCTATCTCAGGGAATGGCTCTGTCTCTCCTTTAGGAGATCTAGCTATCTGAAGCATCTCCTCATATTCATCCTCTGCACTCTTTTGTGGCTTTGCAGAACTGAACTTCTGTTCTTTAGGGACAACTATCCTGGTCTCCATATGAAAGGCGTCTGAATCAGACTCCATGCTAGGAAAATAGTCAGAAACTGAGGTCCTGTGAAGCGCTTCCATCTCTCTAGTATGCCTTGCCTCCTCAGTGGGCGAGGCATCCTCAATGGGAGACAGGTTACTGGGTGAGGTTAGAGGCAGATCCCTTCTCCTCTGAGCCCGGAGATCATCTTTTTCCCTCTTGGACTTCTTGGAGCTCCTCTTCCCCTGCTGCTGGTCCGATTCCTTCGGTTTGTCCTGCTCCCTGAGGTGATCCTCCTCCTCCCTGAGCTCCTCCTCCTCTGACGAGTCCTCGATGGTGGGGAATGGCTGGCCGGCATGCCTGTGCTTGGCCTTGCGGGGCTGTTTCCCCTCCCCGCTCCTCTTGTGGCTGGGGCTGCTGTCGCTGTCCTCCTCCAGAGAAGAGGCTGAGGTGGGGGAGGTTCCAGGGGTGAAGCTGGACACCTGGACGCTGGATGACCCCTCACCTTTGGACCTGTCCTCCAGAGAATATGTGATGCTCTCCACCTCTGAATCCCCATCGTCCATGCTCTTTGTTCTCTGCGGTGTCATGGCTTTCTTATACACAGTGGTTTGCTCAGTGAGTTCAGCACTCTCTACAATGGATTTTGGCTCAGACCCTGGGAGAGATTGTCTCCTGGCTGGGCTGTCTTCATCATCCATACTGCCTTTTTTTAACAGAGGCTTGGCTTTACATGATGCGTTATCCACCACAACATCATTGGTCTCCTCCTCTCTGCTCCCTTTCTCCTCTTTTTCCTCCTCCTCTGAGAGAGACATCTCCTCCTCTCCCATCATTCCCATGATCTGCCTGCGGATTAACTCCTCCTCGTTCACAAATGAGTCTGGGCTGTCTGGAGGGCTGTCTGCAGGGCTTTCATCTTTGTAGTCCTCGCTGCTGGACGAGGCTGCCGTGCTGACCGCTATCGCACTTAACTTCCGTCTCTGGAGCTTGGGCGAGGGAGAGGGTTCGCTCCCGCTGCTCTCCTCCATCGGAACATAACTCAGACGCCTCTTTGCCCCATTCACCTCCTCCTTGGCAGGGATGGCTGTGTCAGGGATTGTGTCCATCATAGGGACATCTCTGACTATCTGCACCTCCTTCAGCTCGCCCTCAGAGGTGTAGGAGCCCTGTGAGATGGGAAGTATGTATGGTCCATCCTGGGACTTGTCACTATTGTCCTCAGGCTTGATGTCAGACTCAAATGGACTGGCTGGGCTGGATGGTACCTCAACTACTACCTGGTCTGTTAGGAGGGAGGCTGCAGTCGGCTCCTTCTCCTTCTTCTGAAAATAAAAAAAGCATCAGATGAAAATGTGCTTGTCCTATAGATAAATCAAAACATACAGTGCCTTCGGGAAAGTATTCAGACCCCTTGACTTTTTCCACATTTTCTTACGTTACAGCCTTATTCTAAAATTGATTAAATTGTTAGTTTTTTTTTACATCAATCTACACACAATACCCCATAATGACAACAAAAAAAAAGGTTTTTAGACATTTTTGCAAAACAAACAACATTTTTTTTTTTAAACATAAGTATTCAGACCCTTTACTCAGTACTTTATTGAAGCACCGTTGGCAGCGATTACAGCCTCACGTCTTCTTGGGTATGGCGCTAAAAGCTTGGCACACCTGTATTTGGTGAGTTTCTCCCATTCTTCTCTGCAGATCCACTCATGCTCTCACGTTGGATGGGGAGCGTCGCTGCACAGCTATTTTCAGGCCTCTCCAGAGATGTTCGATCAGGTTCAAGACCGGGCTCTGGCTGGGCCACTCAAGGTCATGCATAGACTTGTCCCAAAGCCACTCCTGCGTTGTCTTGGCTGTGTGCTTACGTCGTTGTCCTGTTAGAAGGTGAACCTTCACCCCAGTCTGAGGTCCTGAGCGCTCTGGAGCATATTTTTTTAAATCAAGGATCTCTCTGTACTTTGCTCCATTCATCTTTCCATCAAGCCTGACTAGTCTCCCTGTCCCTGCCGCTGAAAAATATCCCTACAGCATGATGCTGCCACAAGCCATGCTTCACTGTATGGATGGTGCCAGGTTTCCTCCAGACGTGACGTTTGGCATTCAGGCCAAAGAGTTCAATCTTGGTTTCATCAGACCAGAGAATCTTGTTTCTCATGGTCTGAGAGTCCTTTAGGTGCCTTTTGGCAAACTGTAAGCGGGCTGTCATGTACCTTTTACTGAGGTCAGATTGGTGGCGCTGCAGAGGTGGTTGTCCTTCTGGAAGGTTCTCCCATCTCCACAGAGGAACTCTTGAGCTCTGACAGAGTGACCATCGGGTTCTTGGTCACCTCCCGTATTGCTCAGTTTGGCCAGGCGGCCAACTGTAGGAAGAGCCTTGGTGGTTCCAAACTTCTTCTATTTAAGAATGATGGAGGCCACTGTGTTCTAGGGGACCTTCAAACCTTCAAGATTTGTGCCTCGACACAATCCTGTCTCAGAGCTCTACGGACAATTCCTTCGACCGCATGGCTTGGTTTTTGCTCTGACATGCACTGTCAACTGTGGGACAGGTGTGAGCCTTTCATGTCCAATCATTTGAATTTACCACAGGTGGACTCCAATCAAGTTGATCAATGGAAACAGGATGCACCTGAGCTCAATTTCAAGTCTCATAGCAAAGGGACTGAATACTTATGTCAATAAGGTATTTCAGTTTCTTATTTTTAATACATTTGCAAAAAATTCTAAAAACCTGTTTTCGCTTTGTCACTATGTGGTATTGTGTGTAGATTGATGAGGAAAACATTTAATTTAATCAATTTTAGAATAAGGCTGTAACATAAGAAAATGTTGAAAAAGGGAAGGGGTCTGAAAGCTTTGTTGTCAATTTTGTTTATGGAGCTAATTATATTTGTGTGAACAGTTAACAACTATGGCAGCGATCTATATTTGTATGGGATCACAATCTTGAATAGGGAATATGATAACAACAATACATTGATTCATCTGTTAAACAAAAACTTGCCTTCACAGTCTTCTTCTCAGTGAGTATCTGCTGAGGTTCAGGAAGGACATCATCCATCTTGTCAACCAATGGAGTGGCCACTTCCTTGATAGTATCAGTTTGGACTAGTTGTGGAGTTACCCTCTCGGCCTCTGCAACAGGCAGTGGTTCCTGTTGTTTCTGTGGCTTCTCAACCATCTCCTCTGCTGGTTTAGGTAGCTCTGCTGGTTGAGCCTCAGCCTCTGGTTTCTCCTCCACAGTGGCTGGAGTGACAGCAACGGCCGTAGCCACTGTGGTGGATCGAGGAGCAGGAGCAGTCATGGTCTCAGTCACTAGGACAGAGGCAACAGGAGCAGCTACTGCTGGAGCCTCAGTTTTGGGTGGTTCATATTTAGGTGGTACATGTTTAGGCAGCACAGCCTTAGGACCCTCTGCCACAGAAGGCTCCATTTTTGGTGCCTCTGTCTTGGCGATCTCCACCTTAGGGACTTCCGTCTCAGGAGCCTCAGCCTTGGCGACCGTTACGGGAGCTTCAGCCTTGGGTACTTTCACCTTTGGTTCCAGCTCCTTATGTGCAAGGGCAGGTGTTGGTGTAGGTAGAGTGGGCACTGAGGTGAGAGGCACAGTCTGGGATGGGGGCTGTGTTTTAGGGAAAGGCTGGGCCTTGGTTCTTGCTGCTGCTGGTGGCTGGGGCTCTGTCTTGGTGGTTGCGACTGCAGGGAGTGGTGTGGGCTGGGCCTGGGTCTTGGTGGGTTGAGGCTGGGCCATCTTTCCCATGTCTCCAAGTTGTCCAGACAGAGCCCTCTGGGTCTGGCAGTTCAGACACAGCCATTCCTTCTGTCAACACAGAGAACAACACACAGTGGTTAGTGGTCAGTTCAGACAGTTATTACTTCTGTCACAGAGGGGACAACACACAGGTGGTTAGTGCTTAGTACAGACCATGTTGGCTTCATTCCAAGCCAACACATGGCTCTATTCCAAGAGGAATTCCAAATACAATGGAAGAAAAATAATTTATCTTTCATAATATAGATTTTTCAACTGCATTCATCAGCGATACAAAAACAACAAAATGTTACTTCACACTCAGGGGAACTGTGAAGTGTACTGTAGTGGAATGTTATTATGCATCTTAATTTAACTCCTGAGGCCATATGTGGATAACAATGATGGACAATGTACACTGGTACAGTCAGTGAAGTGCATTACGCAGTTACAGTATGAACAATTTATGCAGTCACTAACTGTAAGTCGCTCTGGATAAGAGCGTCTGCTAAATTACTAAAATGTAAAAAAAATTACAAACACTAGAAGTCATAGTGAACCCTAACACCATCCATACAGTAGTTTAATGTATTCAACCAGTGTTTTATATATTCTACATCAGGTCCAAATTACACCAGATAAATTAATTAGCTTATAGAATTCCTAAGCATCGAGCAAAGATACCCTCCATAACAATGTTAGGCTGAAGAGTATCAAGCGCTTGTCAGGTAGCATATAAAAATTGCTTACCTTGCCAGAAAACAAATCATATCTTACAGGCAATCTTATTGCTATTTACATTAAATCTCTCATCACAGCAGCATGATCTTTTTGCTCCATTTATTTTGGGCCAGTTGAGGAAAAAAACATTTTCAGTAAACTGGTAGAGCAGAGAGCACCAGCGGTGAGCTATTAGACAGGATCACAGCATTGCGACTACTACCTCTGCAGAGACGGTGTGGGATTGTGATACTCGGGGCAGAGCAGGAGATGTTGCCATTCTTTTTATTAACCGCCTCTCACTTTCAATCACCATGTGTGTAGAGCTGTGACGGTCATGGAATTTGGGTGATGGTTATTGTTCAGCCAAATGACCGTGGTCACCGTAATAACTGTACGAATAGCAAAAAAAATGAAATATATATTTGTTTGTTTGTTTGAAAATTTGTCGTGTTTTTTTGCAGGGATGGGACATTCCCTAGGCAACCAAAGACTTGTTTGCTACAACACTTTGCTTGTTTCAGCAAGGCGCAACTAAGTGTCATCACGTTGTAGAGTCCATGTTACAGCAGAAACCCTCCCCCCACCCCCCTTTGCCCTCAGAAAAGCCTAAATTCATCAGGGCATGGACTCTACACTGTGTCGAAAGCGTTCCACAGGGATGCTGGCCCATGTTGACTCCAATGCTTCCCACAGTTGTGTCAAGTTGGCTGGATGTCCTTTGTGTGGTGGACCATTCTTGATACACACAGGAAACTGTTGAGCATGAAAAACCCAGCAGCGTTGCAGTTCATGACACAAACCGGTGCGCCTGGCACCTACTACCATACTCCGTTCAAAGGCCTATTCACCCTCTGAATGGCAAAAATACACATTTTTACATTTACGTTTTAGTCATTCAGCAGACGCTCTTATCCAGAGCGACTTAAAGTAGTATTTTCATACTTTTGTTTCGTACACAATCCATGTCTCAATTGTCTCAAGGCTTAAAAATCATTCTCCTTCATCTACACTGATTGAAGTGGACTTAACAAGTGACATCAATAAGGGATCATAGCTTTCACCTGGATTCACATAATCAGTCTATGTCATGGAAAGAGCAGGTGTTCTTAATGTTTTGTATACTCAGTGTATACTGTATATATTTTTTTATTACTAGTTATGATGGTTATTTTATTTTCATGACGGTCTTCATCCATATCTGTCGTTTACAAGGTTATACGGTAATTGTGCCAGCCCTACATGCATGTGTGAGATATGGGGATATTCCATACGCATGGACAGACAACCCATGTGCACTGAACACTGTGCACACAAAACTTATAGGATACGTAGAAACACATGTTGAAATGTTGACATTAGTGCACATATTCAAATATGTATACAGTGCCTTCAGAAAGTATTCACACCTCTTGACTTTTTCCACATTATGTTGTTTTACAGCATGAATTTAAAATGGATTACATTTAGATTTTTTGTCACTGGACTACACACAATACCCCATAATGTCAAGGTGTAATTAGGTTTGAATTTTTATAAACAAATTAATTACAATTGAAAAGCTGAAATGTCTTGAGTCAATAAATATTCAACCCCTTTTATGGCCAGCCTATATAAGTTCAGGGGTAAAAATGTGCTTAACAAGTCACATAATAAGTTCCATGGACTAACTCTGTGTGCAATAATAGTGTTTAACATGATTTTTGAATGACTACCTCATCGCTGTATCCCACACATATAATTATCTGTAAGGTCCCTCAGTTGAGCAGTGAATTTCAAACAGATTCAACCACAAAGACCAGGGAGGTTTTCCAATGCCTCGGAAAGAAGGGCACCTATTGGTAGATGGGCAAAAAAAAAAGGGCAGACATTGAATATCCCTTTGAGCTATTAATTACACTTTGGATGGTGTATCAATACACCTATTCACTACAAAGATACGGGCATCCATCCTAACCCAGTTGCCGGAGAGGAAGGAGACCACTCAGGGATTTCACCATGAGGCCAATGGTGACAAAACAATTACAGAGTTTAATGGCTGTGATAGGAGAAAACTGAGGATGGATCAACAACATTGTAGTTACTCCACAATACTAACCTAATTGACAGAGTGAAAAGAAGGATGCAGGTACAGAATAAAACTATTCTAAAGTAATACTGCAAAAAATGTGGAAAGCAATTAACTTTTTGTCCTGAATACAAAGTGTTTTGTTTGGGGCAAATTCAAAACACATTACTGAGTACCACTCTTCATATTTTCAAGCACAGTGGTGGCTGCGTCATGTTATTTTCCTAGAGGAAAACCTGGTTCAGACTTCTTTCCACCAGACACTGGGAGATGAATTCATATTTTAGCAGGAAAATAACCTAAAACACAATGTCAAATCTACACTGGAGTTGCTTCCCAAGAAGACAGTGAATGTTCTTGAGTGGCCGAGTTACAGTTTTGACTTAAATATATTTGAAAATCTATGGCAAGACTTAAAAATGGTTCTCTAGCTATGATCAACAACCAATGAATAATTTTGAAAAGAATAATGGCATATATTGTACAATCCAGGTGTGCAAAGCTCTTAGAGAGTTACTCAGAGAGACTCACAGCTGTAGTTGCTGCCAAAGGTGAATCTAAAATGTATTGACTCAGGGGTGTGAATATTTATGTAAATTAGATATTGCTGTATTCTTTTTAAATGAATTTTCAAACATTTTTAAAGACATGTTTTCACTTTGTAATTATGAGGTATTGTGTGTAGATGGGTGAGAAAAATATTACATTTAATCCATTTTGAATTCAAGCTGTACACACACACTCTTTCTCAAGGGGATTAGTGCTGGTTCCAGAGACTAGTGACGTAAATGAATAATATTTCATGGGAACGTCACGTGCTGACAGGAGCTTTAGTGAGTGATGTAACACACCCTCTGTCATGGCCAGGCTTAGGCCTGTAGTCCACACCACATCCAGCTATGCCAGGGATCCCCTGTGTGTTCCCAGAAACAAACCCAAAATACCTCTACTTCCACATCCTTGCCGTGTGAGCATCTGGGGTCAGGGCCCAGGGGTCAGAACTAACAAAAGCCTTTGCTACATGAGTTGCTCAACCAACTGGGTGCCTTTTGAGTATTGTAACTTGGTCAATAAAACCTGTCATAAAGAGCACATTTTCAACTTCATAAAACACATGTTTTCCCATCTCAAGAGGTTCAATAAAAATGTTAAGTGCCTATTAAAGAGCAATTGCCCCTAATTACCAACGTGTCCTTTTAAAAATGGCCTATGTGGCATCAATATGAGTCAGAAACATTTATTCTAGTGTCCAAATTGACCTGTGTATTCTTCAAGCATGTCAGGGAACTCCTGTCTTATACAGGACACCATACAGGAAGGTATGACGACTGACGTTTGTCAAGGTATCCCCAGCACCAGTCGACAACATGCTGATAGGTACAGTCTCTGTATTGGCTTGAATGACAATAGTCGATAAAAGACAAGTGTAATAATTGCACATTGTTATATTAGCAGAATACTGCTTCTACAGTATTATGTGACGTTTGGTTTATTCTACATGGAACTGTTACAATTGAAAGTTATCAAAACACTTTGTTTAGAAAATCTTCATACTGTAAGTTCAGCAATTGCACTCATATTACTCTGTAGCTAATGACTGAAGCAAAGCTTCCTCCTGGAGGAAGCTTTGAATTGGTCAGTAGCCTACAGAGTAGTATGAGAAGAGTGCCATCCTCCTGCATCTCTCATCTGCCTGTAGTTATTGAACTCTGCCTGCTGGACCCATGGGTTGAGGTAAACTGTCATATCCAGGATGGAGTGTCATGCACTCCACCCTTCCTGCCACCTGATTGTACCTGTCAATAACCTATAATACATTACATAGATGGAAGGGACTTCATCACCAACTGGAGCAGGGGTCTCCAACAGGTAGATTGCAAGCTACCAGTAACTCGCTGCCCGCCTATGAGTAGCTTGCCAATCAATTATGAAAGTACATGCATTTTTTATTGTGTTACATGCTAACCGTCATAAACATACAGCTCCTGGCTACTATCGAATCAAAGCCACATTGATATTCGTCTCCTGAGTGGCGCAGTGGTCTAAGGCGCCGCATCGCAGTGCTAACTGTGCCACTAGAGATCCTGGTTCGAATCCAGGCTCTGTCGCAGCCGGCCGTGACCGGGAGACTCATGGGCGGCGCACAATTTGCCCAGGGTAGGGGAGGGAATGGCCGGCAGGGATGTAGCTCAGTTGATAGAGCATGGCGTTTACAATGCCAGGGTTGTGGGTTCGATTCCCACGGGGGGGCAGTATAAAAAAAATAAAAATATGTATTCAC